GGCGCATACCAAAAAAAAAATATATATATATATTTTTTTCCTAACCTGTTAAGTCGTGTTCCCTGACCACGAGAAAAAAATTCAATTGAACTTACAAGCGACATGATGAGCGATGACGTCACACCCTGCATGATCGCTCATGCACGGTGCGTCCCAGAGGCGTCGCGTGCGGTCTTCAAGCAGCTAGAATTGCCACAAATTTATTTTCGCTGCATTATTTAGTGTCTAGGCCTATTTTATTAGCAATATTAGTCACTAATTGTGTTACACATAATGTTACATCACAGTCATTGTCAATAAATGTTACATACATCGAGTATACACATGTGCACACAAATGTTTTCCATTACGCCATTATATTATGTCATCACAATGCTCATTATTATATGTACACACATGCACGCATTATGTACAGGTTTTTGCACTATTATTGCACATTTAGAATTCTTGGATTGAGTGGTAGTCGTTGAAGCAGTCGACAGCACACAATGGCACTGCACACGCTTCACACCATGTTTGCACCACTTTGTTTCTGTTCTCTCCTTTTTGTTGTTTTACATACTAGGCATTCACGTTGGCCTATTGCACGCTTTCCAGCTGGCGGCAAATGTTTTAGTCTGTGTTGCTGAAAGGCCTCCATGTGAGCAAGCCTGGGTGTTGCAGCATGCTGCAACACTGGGTTCATGATTGGTCTTTGTAGGGAGGGAGCCGGTCGGCCGAGCGGACAGCACGCTGGACTTGTGATCCTGTGGTCCTGGGTTCGATCCCAGGCGCTGGCGAGAAACAATGGGCAGAGTTTCTTTCACCCTATGCCCCTGTTACCTAGCAGTAAAATAGGTACCTGGGTGTTAGTCAGCTGTCACGGGCTGCTTCCTGGGGGTGGAGGCTGGGCCGCGGGGACACTAAAGCCCCGAAATCATCTCAAGTTAACCTCAAGATTGTATGCCAGGGACATCTTTACCAAACTTTGCTAATAACTTGTTGCAAGTGTAAAAGCAAATGCACGGAAACTAGGTTTACGTCCAGTTTTCACCAGATACATATTATAGCAGTTCAACATGCTCATGTCAACATGATGGAAAAACACTTTTTTCGTCCATTTCAATGTTTTCCGCACACACTCGATAGTGCCAACCATCATGTTAGCCTTATCAATCAAACGCATGTTGATATTATAGTCAAGAACACAACCTGGCTTATATACTGGTTCTTTCGTTACACAGTTCACCTTGCCACTGTTCACCATTGTACCCTCATGAATGGTTGTCAGCATGTTCACTTCTCTCTTGTCTTTCCACCGAACCGAGAGTATTTGATCACTTTTCTGTAGCTGGCACTCACCAACTGCAAGTCTACTGTCAAACACTGGCATTTCCCTCCTTCGTGCCTTTACTGTGCCAACCAATCCAGTTCTATTTTCAACCAAAAAGTTAGTTAGCAATGGACTTGTATAGTAATTATCTGTGTATAAGATGTGGCCCTTGTTCATCCATGGTGCCATCAGTGACTTCACCACACTACCCGAGAAACCATGTTCGTCGTTACCGGGAATGTCTACATCGCTAGCTGAATACAGAATTGTAACGGTTCTATTGTTACGTAAAGTATGGTGACAAATAAACACAGACACTAAGATACTATATATATATTTGGTCGAATATACAGAAGTACACAGGTGATACTTTGGTGTGAGTTGAGCGCACTGAGCGTCGGTACAGTATCTCGCAAGTGTCTGCTCTAGACCACACTTGAAAGTAGACTAGTTAATGTTTGCTATTCTGCTGCTTATATGCTTGGGCAACACCTCACCGTGTGCCCGGGCAACGCCTCACCTCATTCATCTCCAAAGATTGACAGGAATATTAACAATGCATTTGGAGTGAGTATATTATTGGGATAATCTACTCGCTACAGAACTCCCCCTCCCAGGGGATGAAAGGAAAAATACTTGATCAAGGAACTTAGCTGGTCGGTGAATTGTACGCCCTGCTCGCGTTACATAACCATCAAAGTTAACTTCCTCCTCTTCGCTGATGTCATCTAACTGGGGTCGTAGGGTGGGAGGTCGCACAGGATCGTCCGTCGTTGTAGGATCAGGTTGTGGTGCGGCTGGTAACTGGGGTTGTAGGGTGGGAGGTCGCACAGGATCGTCCGTTGTCGTAGGTGGCGGTGCTGCTGGTAACTGTGGTCGAAAAGTGAACTGCGTAGTCGGCGGATGTGTCTCTGGATTTAGCAGTGTCGCAGACGTTGAGACGAAGCCTGGAGCAGAGCAGAGAGCTGAGTGAGGCCGGAGTCGTGGAACTCTATGTGGGAGAGCGTGGCGGCTCGATTGAGAATTGTGAGTGTCTGAACTCGGGGAGCGAGAGCGTGGGGCTCGATGCGGTCATAGTCTGCTGTCTGCTCTGTGTCGAAGCTGTAGCGTCTTGGGTTGATTAGGACTTTACACGCCGAGTACTACATTGTTGACTGTGGAAATTGTAGTCTGGTACCAAAAGATGTAGGCAGTGTGTGGACAAGCTCGGTGTAGCAGGAGAGAAGAATGTGCATAATTGTTGCGTCCTTGGGTCGCTGGTGGAGCATTTAGATCCGGGGCGGATGGGCTCGGGAACCAGGACATTAAGAGGTAATGTAGGCACGTAGTTACGACAACGAGGTAATCACATCTAGAGCTGAATTGTCCTGAAGGCGACGAAGTGTCGGAAACGCAAGCTGTAAGTCCTGTACTGCGCAAAGGGCTTGAGTCGGCCGAGTATCAAAATGCAGTGAACGTGTAGATGAATCTGATGACAGAGCAGCTGTCGTGGGCGTAGGACAAGCAGTGCCCTGGCAGCGACGGAGAGTCGGCAGGACAAGCTGTAGATCCAACATGATGTAATCATTGATGAGGCTGTCAGATGAGTGAGTAACGATCGTGGAGCAGTAAGCCGTAGTAGATGAAAATGCAGAGATGGACGCGATGAAAATCATAGCTGTGGCGAGGGTGTTGGCAGTGTTCCATCCCAGCAAATAGTAGCAGTAGAAGTCCAGTGAGAGTCCATGTTGTAGTCCATCGTGGCTGGGTATCGTCGAAACTCTCTGGGGTCACCAATGTAACGTTTCTATTGTTACATAAAGTATGGTGACAAATAAACACAGACACTAAGATACTATATATATATTTGGTCGAATATACAGAAGTACACAGGTGATACTTTGGTGTGAGTTGAGCGCACTGAGCGTCGGTACAGTATCTCGCAAGTGTCTGCTCTAGACCACACTTGAAAGTAGACTAGTTAATGTTTGCTATTCTGCTGCTTATATGCTCGGGCAACACCTCACCATGTTGCCCGGGCAACGCCTCACCTCATTCATCTCCAAAGGTTGACAGGAATATTAACAATGCATTTGGAGCGAGTATATTATTGGGATAATCTACTCGCTACAGAATCATGTGTATAACGTATCCTGTTTCACAGTCACACAGTACAAAGAATTTCAATCCAAATCTGTTTCATTTGGAGGGAATATTCTGCTTGAATGAAACATATCCTTTGAAAAGCACAAGGGATTCGTCAATCACCAGCTTCTGTGCTGGTACGTAAAAATCTCTGAGCTTATCAATCACTTCATTCATATAGTGCATCACTCGCCAAAGTAAATCATCCTCTGTCCGGTCCTCATTACTTGCAAAATGAAGACACCTGAGGAGTATCTGAAACCTATCTCGGGATATATATTTCCCTAAGAAAGGTGTTGGAATAGTCAGATCTTTGCTCCAGTAATCTGTAATAGCGTGTTTGACACAGTGCTTCATCAACATACATATTGCTAAAAACGCATACATTTCACCTACATTGGTGGTTTTCCAACGTTGCAATCATGAAAATTCTGTTATCTCTCTTCTAATGAGATGAGTCGCATGAAGGTTCGTTTGGTGTACAATATATTCCATGAGCGGCTCATCATTGAATGCTGTAAAATAATCTAATTCACTCATATCCTCTCCATTATCAGGGAAAAGCTCGGTAATCCCGTCTTTATTGTCAAAGGCAGAAATTCGAGGAATAAAACCAGCACCATCACTCCACACTAGTACACCTGGTGTCCTGCGAGACGCAACAACAGTACGGCCGCTACGTGCACATAAGGTGGAAACACGTGAACATCACCACACTACCCGAGAACATCACTACACTACTCTTGGTTCCTCATGTTGTTCCATGCAGTGGCGCTTGGCTAAGCGAGACGCTGCTGACGCGAAAAATTCTTGCCCAGTAACACCACTGGTACTGGCACCAGGCTCGGTAACACTATGTTCTGATTCCGCTTCACTAAAACCAGAAAAAGAGTCGGCTTCCTCTGACTCATCACCGAAAATATCCTCAGACTCTAAATAAGGACATGAACTGTGTGGTCGAAGGTGAATTGGAGTAGACACTGGGCGAGGTGGTATGGGTGAGCGTATAGGCCTCGCCATGGGAGGAGGCTGTATCTCATTTTCACTGTCCGTGCTACTATCATCGGTCAATTGTGTGTAGTCTTTATCAATGTCAGAGTCATCAAAATCACTTTCCTCACCATCAGAAAATAATTCACTGGTTATTTGCTCTTGGGCGAGTGATTGCGTGGTGCGCGCCCGGGAAGTGTTCGGCCGTGCGTTCGACATGGTGGCTGCTGGGTAACTGATGCCTCCCACGCGATGGTAGCATGAGCTGGATTTTTTTTACAAAATGGCGTCTGTTTACTATAGCCCCTAAGCAGCGTATGGGAGCCCCCTCTACCCCGCGGGCCTTTCAAATCTTGCACGGTACTCCAATGCATCATATGATGTGGAGCGCAAGTTACTGCAAGTCACTCAACCCATCATATGATGTGTTGTGCACTTAAAGGGTTAATACGCTCAGCATCACTAGTTAATGACAACATAATAAATATACTTACCATCACTAGTTAATGACAATATCATGATACACACACACACACACACACTGGTAGTACAGTAAGAATAAAATTGTCCTTACCATCATTAATGGGCAGAAGTTGTGTTTGCTATCGTCCTGGGAAGCTGAGCAGAGACTGGAAGCAGTATTACCTATTAAGGCAAAATAAAACAAATTTAAGGTTTCTATGACTAAATTTTTCCCACCAAAACAGTAAATTTTTAGAAAAATATAATAATTTTTTTTAGGTATTGTGCTTTGAGCAAAAGTAAGGAAGGTAGGCAGGAGTAAGGAGGGTGGTCAGGAGTAAGGAGGGTGGGCAGGAGTAAGGAGGGTGGCCAGGAGTAAGGAGGGTGGTCAGGAGTAAGGAGGGTGGTCAGGAGTAGGGAGGGTGGGCAGGAGTAAGAAAGGTGGGCAGGAATAAGGAGGGTGGTCAGGAGTAAGGAGGGTGGTCAGGAGTAGGGAGGGTGGGCAGGAGTAAGAAAGGTGGGCAGGAATAAGGAGGGTGGGCAGGAGTAAGGAGGGTGGGCAGGAGTAAGGAGGGTGGGCAGGAGTAAGGAGGGTGGGCAGGAGTAAGGAGGGTGGACACGAGTAAGGAGGGTGGGCAGGAGTAAGGAGGGTGGGCAGGAGTAAGAAGGATGGTCAGGAGTATGGAGGGAGGGCAGGAGCAAGGAGGGTGGGCAGGAGCAAGGAGGGTGGGCAGGAGCAAGGAGGGTGGGCAGGAGTAAGGAGGGTGGGCAGGAGTAAGGAGGATGATCAGGAGTAAGGAGGGTGGGCAGGAGTAAGGAGGGTGGGCAGGAGTAAGGAGGGTGGGCAGGAGTAAGGAGAGTATGCAGGAGTAAGGAGGGTGGGCAGGAGTAAGGAGGGTGGGCAGGAGTAAGGAGGATGGGCAGGAGTAAGGAGGGTGGGCAGGAGTAAGGAGGGTGGGCAGGAGTAAGGAGGGTGGGCAGGAGTAATGAGGGTATGCAGGAGTAAGGAGGGTGGGCAGGAGTATGGAGGGAGGGCAGGAGCAAGGAGGGTGGGCAGGAGCAAGGAGGGTGGGCAGGAGCAAGGAGGGTGGGCAGGAGCAAGGAGGGTGGGCAGGAGTAAGGAGGATGATCAGGAGTAAGGAGGGTGGGCAGGAGTAAGGAGGGTGGGCAGGAGTAAGGAGGGTGGTCAGGAGTAAGGAGGGTTGGCAGGAATAAGGAGGGGTGGGCAGGAGTAAGGAGGGTGGGCAGGAGTAAGGAGGGTTGGCAGGAATAAGGAGGGGTGGGCAGGAATGGGGAAGGGGATATGGGCAGGTTCTCGGTTACCTCCCCTTCCCTCTCTTAACAGCCTACATAATACAAACCACGTGCATTAAGCTGCTACAGCCTGGGCTGTAAAAGCTGGGGCGGGCAAAAAATATTTGAATTAAGTGAAAATTAATATTAAATGCTAAACAAATCTCCAACTTATTGGCATAAGCGTCATGCAAGTTTCATCCCAATATTTTCAAAAATGTATTTTAGACAATTTTTTTTAAAAAGGAGAACATTTTGTTGATAAGGAAAACAGCTCCTATTAACTGGAACTGAGGGATAATGCAGTAATAGAGAGATGCAAGCACCTGTCCAATGTACAAAGAAGAAGAATAGTAGCAAGAAGTATCCACAAAGTGGATATGCAGCTGGTGTCTGTATAGCATTGCTGAGTAATACATAATAATAATGAGTATGTTATCATGCTCTATTTTGTTATATATCATAAAAATGTATTGCCTAATGTTAATATCTGTTACTGTCACCAATATCCAAAAAATATATATTTTTTTGTCTCCTTTGTTTATTATCTCATTTTGATGTAACCTCTACATCCTGGAGAGTGCATACCCATCCCTAACTATGTCAAGATAGAATGAAATTGGTCACCCAATAAATCAGTCACAACTGGCAGAACTTGGGACTTTGAATTTTTTTTGACTGAGTTTTTCACAGATTTCAAATTCTATTTTTTTGTCTCTTTAGGCAGTTTTGATGATCAGGGCTTTATCACTTTTATAAAGTACAGTAGCACCTCGGTTAAGTCACTTTCGCGCTTTGGTGCCGATTGCGGTCGTCAACTATTTTTATTACGGTTCCGCTGGTGTGACTATCTTAGGAGTCACGAGAAAAAATATTTGTATAAATTCCATCTTCTATCCGATTTTGTTGGGGATACTCTTAAAATGTTCGCCATGAAATTCCCGTTCTCCCACAAAGGCCACATGGCATCTCGGTCTATGCGGTCACGTGGTCGGCCCATTGTTTTGTTGTCACGACAAATGCCCACACCCCGCTCCCCTCGTGCGGCAAACTTGACCTGTTTTATGCATTTATTTCCATTCTCGTGTGATTCTAACCCATTCAATACATTGAACATGGATTGTAGACAAGGAACAAGCAGTGGTACTCAAAAAGGAGGCAAGAAATCGCAGAAAGAAGACCAGATCTCTATGATTTATGATAAGTATCGTGGGGTCTTGCTCACTCCCTCCAAGATTCCTGCCCTTGTTGAGGAGTTATCAGAGGCAGAGGATGCTGATCTTCAGGTTGACGAACCAGAATGTGACATTCTATATGAGCTTTCCTCAAGTGAGCATGATAGTTTGAGTGAGAGTGAGGAAGAATCCCCAGCCCCGCCACGCGGAAAGCGAACGTGTCCGGTACCTAAGAGGGCTAGGCTGAGTGATGAGTGGAGTCGAAGCAACACTCCTCCCAGCGTTGGTGCATTTTCTGCAAACCCAGGCCTAACAATTCCACTACCAACGACCAACGATTGGTAGAATATCTAGCCTATGAAACTAATTTGTATGCCACACACATCATACATCTGGTAGCTGCATCATCAAGAAATAGTTGGAAACCATGTCTGTGAAAGAAATGGCCCGATATTTGGGCCTGTGCCTACTGATGGGGATAAACAAGCTCCCTACAATGAGGATGTACTGGCAGACAAATCAGCTGTGGCATAGTCGATTCTTCAACGTGTTTATGTCGTCTACGCGGTTCCAACATATTTCCAAGGACTTTCACATGTATAACAAGAAAGCAGTTCCTGAGAATAATAGTGACAGGTTGATAAAAGTGAGACCAGTGATGGAATATTTGAGCGAGAAATTTTCGTCTGTATATATTCCAAAGAAAGAATTGAGCCTCGATGAAGGTACAATGCCATGGCATGGTCGCCTCTCTTTCAAGGTATACAATCCCAACAAGCCCGACAAGTATGGTGTAAAATTTTATATGTTGGCCAAAGGCACATCAGGCTACATATATAACTTTGATGTGTATTGTGGCATTGGAAAAACTACAGTGGAAACCGTCATGGGGTTGATGGCGCCCCTAGTCAACAAGGGTTATCATCTGTATATGGATAACTACTATAACTCAGTTACCCTAACAAAAAAATTACGTGAAGTTGGTGTTTACACATGTGGCACACTTAGACTGCAATGTGGCGCCCCCAAGGATCTGCAACAACTAGCAAAGGGTAAAATGGCAACAGATACCACACATGCGTAAGGATAACACATTTATTATAGTATGGAAGGACAAGCGCCCCGTCTCTGTCATCACCAATCTGCACAATGCCGACACTACTGAAGTACAGCGCAGGAAACTCATTCGTAGACGTGACGGGAGAACTGGACTCGAAATGGTGAAAATGAACAAACCCAAGGCCATATGTGATTATAATCGGTTCATGAAAGGTGTTGATCATTTTGATCAAATGATCAAGTATTACGAGTTTGCCATAAAAACTCACAAATGGACCAAGAAGATCACTTTTTATTTTCTGTAAATGGCTTTGCACAATGCATTTGCGTTGTATAAAAACTACTCCACTGATGTAAAAAAAACTCACATTTTTAGAGTTTCCCGCAATAGGAATTCGATCCTTATTGCTGTGGAAGAGTGAGGACTGGCCTACAACAACCAGCATACCCCATGCTCCAGACATAGATGCCAACGTAGCTCATCCTGCTGATGCGGCACTTTCAACACCCGGGCCATATGGTGCGAGGCGGCCTCTTTTCACTTCAACACCTCAAGCCCAGTCGTCGTCAGCAAATTCTGAACAGGAGATGATGACACAGAACCCCTTGACTTGACAGATGTGACAGAAGATTCAACCACAAGTCTTGTCGTTCCTGAGGAAGACACGATTCCTGATGTTCACAGCAGAAACAGACGAATTGTAGATTCAGAACATCGTCTCAACTACAAGTTGACACACGAAATTATCAACCTGCCAAAACGTCTAAGGTGCCGTGTTATCTTGAGGTTATCTTGAGATGATTTCGGGGCTTTTAGTGTCCCCGCGGCCCGGTCCTCGACCAGGCCTCCACCCCCAGGAAGCAACCCATGACAGCTGACAAACTCCCAGGTACCTATTTACTGCTAGATAACAGGAGCATCAGGGTGAAAGAAACTCTGCCCATCGTTACTCGCCGGCGCCTGGGATCGAACCTTGGACCACAGGATCACGCGTCCAGTGTTTTGTCCATTCAGTCACCGGCTCCCCAGTTTGCTACTTGTTTGCTACAAGTCTGGCATAAGGAGGGACGTTAAACTCGGATGTAAAACGTGTGATGTGGGACTGTGCGCTGTACCTTGCCCAGCTTCACTCCACCTATGAATCATCTGTTGAGCAACTTCAGGATCTGAAGCCTGAAGAAGGTGGAGTGAAGAAAAAATGCTCAACTGTTGGTCTACAATCAGCATAGACATGGTAAGTACACCTATTTGAATTAATTTATCATCAATAAGATATTATATTATATACGTATTGTAGAGAATTTATTCGCGATTGTTTTCTTAAAAGAAGGAATATTATATCACATAAACTTCAATGAGTAAACAGGAACAATCACAAAGTATTTTTTCGGGTGTGGCGGGCGTGTTGCAGTGGGTTCCCTTTAGCCGTTCATATTGCCAAGACGTGGCAAATATTTTTATTTGTTATGTATATGTCTGTGTAGTTAATTTTACTGCGATCACTGTCATACAAATAAAATCGGGTTTAGACAAGTATAAACTTGACAAACATGGAACGAGCGAAAACATTGCATTAGTTTTTGGCGCGCATGCATAGTGAGCGACGTTGTTTTATATTTGGTGCCGTTCGTACATATGCTGTGTACATTTTTATA